ACAAAACGATGGACATCCTACATCAGTTGGATAGGCGACTTAAATGGCCTACCATGCTGGACACCAAATTTTACAAAGCTGTTGCATCCATGGGAAATGCGAGTGACACGATTCTAGTCAACTCAGATCTTTGTCGCTTTTTCTTGCAAGTTACATGCCCTAGAGGACGGGCGCTGCCACAAGCGCCACGGCTTCTCCTGGCGGTATTCGAATAAGGAGCTGTGGGCGCTCTCATTTCCCCATCCTGAAACTCAGAAACGTCATCCATCACCGCGCTGTCTCACTTCCCTCTCTTCCTCTCCGTCCCTCCTTCTCCGCCTCGGCTCGGCCCCATCTGTCAGTTACATTATGGCATTTAAATTACACTAATTTCGTCAAGAACTCCCACCGCCAGGCGCCATTACCTCATCTTCGTGCTTGGCATTTCGATTTGAAACGAGGCGACTTATACGTATAATTTATTGTTAGTGCCAAAAAGTAGAGGTTGGTAAAAATGTGCCATGAATTCTTCAAAAAGCGAGAAAACTCAACTCATAGTATACCGTGGAGCATTCTGTTTCAGAAGTAGCCTACTTTCTGTAGTGTCGCATCGTGTCTGCGAGACACTCGGTGACGAGTAAAGGAGTTTTGCGCTGCGGAGAGTTTCTGCGCCTGTCATTCCGATTCATCTCTATCTGCACAGGCGTGGAAGGTGAGGTAAGGGGTGGAGAGCGGGACGTGCGGGGAAGGGGGGAGATATCCTTCCTTTTGTGCAGACTCCCCTACAACTCACGTACGGGCCTCGGGGCCTCGCCAACTTAAATCACGCCCTTCTGCTGATAATAAATAGGGCCCTACCACCCTCTACCACCACCACCCGGGTGCGGATCGATACTCGTCTCTTTGTCGCTCCCATAAGTTTTCGTCCGTGCTGTCTGTCACTCTTGCACTCTCGCAGTAAACTCGGGCCGCGAGGTTGCTTCCAGCGGCAGTTCCCGAAGGCGTGTTCTCCGCAAGTTATTATTTGTTTCGCGCAGTTTCGGGCCTGCGCCTCGTTACCCCACGCGCAATATTCATAGATACGTTCCCAAATATCGCTCCACCGCACCGTTAAAACCTTACGAAGAAAAATGAGAAATCCTTCGTAGGTACGAAGGATTTGGAAGCTTCGTGGGTAGCACTTCTACTTCGTAGGTACGAATAAACTCCTTCGTAGGTACGAAAGATTTGCCATTTTGCTTCGTAAGATTTTAACTGTGCCTGCAACTATAGCTGGTATAGTGTGGCGTTTTAAAATTACACACAGATATTTGTTGTTTTGTTTTCTAGGGGACATATTTTTGGTTGTTCTTTGGGAACTTTTTCTAAATACCATTGCAAGTTTTTTTTTCGTCGTGTTATCACTAACTTTTTTTTTGCAGGGCACAGTATCCCGTGGTACTTTTCACAGCGTGCTGTGCCGGGGGCGTTACAGAAGGGTAGAGAGGGGCACGGCGAATCCGCGCTGCGGTGGGCTAACGAAATAAGTTCGCTCTCTGAAAAGCTGAGAAAGTTGCGGCACGGGGGAACGGAAGTAGCAACTAGCTGGGACGACGGGCAGAGGAAAAGAGAGAGGGAGAAAGGGGGTAGGGGGAGAGAAGCGCCTAAAGCCCCGTCCGCACCAGTCGTACCAACTTGAGAACCCTTTCCTCCCCTCCCGAACTTCCTCGTTCCTATCCCATTTTGCCCTTTTGCGCGTGGAGTGGAGTGGGGGCCGAAAGAGAGAGAGAATTAGGGGCGAAAGATAGGAAGGTAGTTCTGCGCAAAAGAGGCACTAGCGGAGCGCAATGCTCCAGCCCTAAGGCGGCCGCGAGGAGAAGAGAGAGAGATAGCGAGAGGCGGTAGGGAGTAAAGCGAGGAAGAGAGCGAGCGAGAGAAACGCTGGGGTGATAAAGGGTTGGGAAGTAGTATAAACACAGACGAGCATTCAGAGTAAGAGAGAGGTAGAGGAAGGGGAAGCGGACGAGAGAGGGAGATGGAGCAAGCGAGAGAGAGACTGTACAGCCCTGGGCCGGCTCGCAAGGAGAGGCGCTCGGGGCGCGCCCGGAGCGCTGGCGCCGCTGCTGCTGCTTCGAGAACGCACCCTTTTTCCTTATCAGGCAGGCAGGGCCCCGTGCCGCCGCGCCGCGCCACCCCCTGCGGCATTAAGAAGGGCGCCCCGGCACGACCCTTTGAGGTTATGGCGGCCATGTTGGTCCGCCTCCCCCCCCCCCCCCCCCCCCCGCGCTGCTGCTCGGGCCGGCCGCGCCACGCCGCGCCAAGCCACACCACGCCGCGGCAGCAGTAGTTGTAGTTTTAGGCTTTTGAGATGGCTGGGCTGGGCCAGTGTGCTGCGGCGCGGGGCAAGATGAGCCTCTGCTAAGCCCCCCTCTACCCCCTTCCCTCTCTCCCTCTTCTGTACTTCTTCGACTCCCTCTTCCTCCGCTTGTGCTCCCGGCACTCTCATTTGAAACCCTGCTCCCTGTATCCTGGAACTTTGCAGGCCATATTGCGCGGAGCGTTTTGTGGGTATAAGACTGTACTGCACAATAACCGACAATAACTATCAGAAAAAAATGCATGATTCTTTTGATTTGGTGAAACAATCTCCATTAGTTTGCTTGAATTAAGAAAAATGCATAAACTCACAAGCTTTATTATTGTCGTACATCGCTCTGGTAAAAAAAGTGTTAAATTTTGCACGTCAGTTGACGTTTAAGTTCAAGTCTGCATTTTCTAGACACTTTGTGGTGTCTAACTATATTATACGTCAATTGGTGTTTAAACTTTCGACACTTCAGAAACGTATAGCAGCTGCACACCGTATGGTTCCCTATTGACAGCATAGAACTGTGTGTGTCCAAGTATGCAGTAAATAACGTTTACAAAACGTCTAAAATTTGCACACCACGTAAGTGTGCAACTTGAGTTGAACACCGTGTAATGTGCAAAATCACAACTTGCACACGTTGGTGTGCAAATATTGCACACTTGTTTTATCAGTATGGCGATGTGAATCAGACGATCGGCGCAGCTACTTGGATGTCCGTTTCTGCGAATCAGATGTTTTGGTGCAGAATAATGCTCCGGTGCGGGCGGGATTTCCTACTCTCTCTCTCTCTCTCTCTCTGGCCGTAAGGCGCCACGGCCCCCGTACGGGTAGGCAAGCCCGCCGGCGCGGGGCGCGTGCTCCGAAACACCCGGCACAATACTGAGCAGGAATGCAGTCTGCACGCGGGCTGGCTCGCACGCGCCCACGCGCAGCCGTGGTTGCGCCGGGCCATGCGATGCAATAGAACGGCACAACACTCGAGCGCCATCGGCTTTGCTCATAGCTTCCATGGCGCTCTCCATGGATATGACATATGCAAATACACCGGCGAATTACAAACTTTGGTCTCGTAACTCGGCGCTGCGCATTGCGTCAATATTGTGTGCATGGCTGTGGCAGAGCGCGGCGTTGACGTGTCGGGGCGTGGCGGGGCGTGGCGGGGCGTGGCGGGGCTGAGCTCGCAATTAGGGCTGATTGCGCGCGACAGCGAGGCGAGAGGCGGCGCGCGTATTTCCAACGCCTTCGTCTCCAACTTGTTTTGAATTTCAATTTGGACGACGACGTAAGTTTGTCGGCGCGAAGCCCTTCTCTCTCTCTGTCTCGGTCCCTCTTGTTTCTCTCTGCCCCTCGCGCGCGCTGCGCCGCAGGGTAGGCAACCTCCGCGCGGGCTGCCGTCGCGTCGCAGCCCGCGGCACTAACCTGTCGAAAACTTCGTGTACTCGTAATAACCTTCCAATGGCACACTGTACTACAAAATACCTTCAGTTTTTAAATTGCAATCATTAAATGTTTCCTTATCGGTACGCAAAGTAAAGAAAAGCATGTAAAACATAATTCAAATACTTAAGTTCCCTTACCCAGTCGAACACACGGCAGTGTTGCAGCTTTTGCCTATCCAGTTCGCCCGTGAGGTCGCATGGCCATGCCATGGCCCAGAGTACTGCACTCGTAACTCTGCTGTATATTGGACTTGGCACACTTTACAAATATGTACTCTACGCCTACCATCTAACTATATATTTTCAAAAGCTAAAAAATTTCACCTCATGTTCGAACAGATTTATCCAGGCCAGTTCCGGTAAACCACTTCTAAAACAAATAGCAAGGCCCGGCAAGGACCCCAACGAAATAAGGGCGGAAAAATAACTGTTGGTTATACCTACCTATTGCGCTCGTTTAACGCATTTTACTAAAGCAATCTTTAGAATTCATAATTCCTGAGACGAACCTGATATTCGTCGTCTTCTAATTGCAAAGGACCATAAGGGCGTATGGCACGTTTATGATTAGACGTATAGTTGCCTTCCTGCACGGCCAGGACGCGTAGGTCGTGCCCCACGCCCCGCCCCATCCCCCGCCATGCTGTGCCCTGTTGGGTCCTCTGCGCGAGGCGGCTGGCGCGCGGCTGCCTGCCCATTCAGAGAAGCTTTACAGCGAAACGTGAGAGGAGATTTGGAAACGCCGTCAGCACATACGCAGGTGTGGCTTGGCCCCGCGCCGTGCCGCGTGACGGGGCCAGGGCCGGGCGTGGTCTTGTTTCCTTCCTCCAGTCTGAATGTGCCGCCGCGCCCCGACACAGTGGCTCATTTTACCGGCAAAGTTTGCGAGGCGTACGTGCTGCCGAGAGAACGAGGATGAACAGCGTCTCTCTGAAACAGGAGCTGATGAGCTGCCCGATATGTTCGGCTGTAGTTGGAAACTTACCTAACATCGTATAAATATTTTTAAAAGAGTCTCTGTTTTTAAGTTTGATTATTAATATTTACGATTTTTTAATACTTTGATAGAAACATGTGGGTCAAATATTCTAGGTTTCGCCAAGACAGTTTTTTCCAATGTTGCCCCTTTTTTAGAATCTCGTCTTGCGGGAAACCAAAATAAACATCGTATGTCATTTCGTACCATTTCTTGCTATTGTCTTTTCATGTGTTGTTCTATTTTTTTTTTACAGGAGCTGCTATGCGTAGACCGCGGTCTTCAGCAGACCAACTTGCGAGACGAGACGCCACCCATGGAATCCACGCGTGCACGTCGCCTTGCAGCCGGCGCAGCAGAACTACTTTGCAAACAGGAGGGCGGGGGTGAGGCGGGGCGCACCAGCACTACGCAATCATTATCTCGGACAGGGCCTAGTAGTGCATGGGCCTCGACGGGCCCACCCCGACCCGAGCCCGCCCGGGCCCGGGCCCGCTTCTTTGATTTAGTTTCATTTCAAACGCATGCACGGTCGGGCGGGCAACGCTCCGGGTGCGCTCCCCTAAAGGACCTAAGGAAAAAGATAAATTATTCAGAGTATAACGAGCAGCAGAAAGCAAATCAGATAAAAGGGAGGGACTGCTACTAAGACTGCTACTTCCC